GGGGGGGGATGGATTTCAATGATCAGATGCTACAGCTCTATTTAACAACAAGAAGGTCCCATTTCTGGTATAATTTATTGAACAAATCGACCCTTATCTACCAGCAAGGATCCTCCCAGAAAATAATTGCTCTGATTCTGTGAGCAGACTTCATGAGTGCATTTCCTAGAGAGCATTCCACCAACAGTAGTAGGCCAAAAAATATGATGAGTATGCACCAGAGAGGGAGTTAGAAAAGACACCAGTTTTCATTGTCTCCAATGTCCCTCCCAACTGGGCCTATGCATCAGAGACTGATCACTAAAATATTTGCCCATAGTTCTAATAGCCTGCATTTCCCTACGTTCAATATGTGTGCTGATCATTTGCCTGCTGCCTCAACCAACCATGCCACTCCCTTCCATTTTAACTGACCCTGGCCTTTTTATCGACTATGCCTCTGCCTGCCGTCTGCATTGTTTATCCACCATGTTTTTGCCTTCCATCTGAACTGACCCTGGCCTATTTATCAACTATGCTTCTGCCTGTCGACTGGATTGTTTATCAATCATGCTTCTACCGTCTTCCTGCACTGACCTGGGCTTGTTAATCAATCATGTTGTTTGCCTTCCACTTGGATTGATCTTTTGCCCTGCTACTGTAGTAGTGGGATTCAAGATAATACAGGGGTTTCACATATGTGAGGGGATTCAGAGTGGAGTTCCAAGTAGAGAGAAACAGTTTTTGGTTTTCTCCGGGTGTAATTCCTGGAACAGGGTCTATTAGTCTGGAGGCTTTGAAGAGATTGGGTAGGACAAAGCCTCTACCCCTGTGCCCAGGTCCTACTTGAAACGAGGCCCTAAGCCTGATGTTCCTGCCTGCTGCCTGGACAATACTTTGGCTATGCTGACTATATCTCTGTCTGCTGCCTGTACTGACCCAGGTCCTCTTATGGGCCATGTTCCTGCCTGCTGTCTGGACAAATACTTTGGTTGGGCTATCCATATCTCTGCCTGTAATGACCCAGGACTTTTTATGGGCCATGCTCCTGCCTGCTGCCTAGACTAATTCTTTGGCTGTGCTGACCAAATCTCTGCGTGCTGCCTGTATTGACCCAGGACTTTTTATGGACCTTGTTCCTGCCTGCTGCCTGGGTGTCATGTTGCTGCCTGTACTGACCCTATCATGTTTATGGAGCATATTCCTGCCTGCTGTCTTGATGATTTTTGGCTGTTGCTGACCATGTCTCTGCCTGCTTCCTGGGCCAGTTCTCTCTCAAACCACAGGTAATCTTTTGTTTATATTGTTTTTTATACAGTGTTTGTTGATTTTTGTGTTGCAGAGGTTGCAATGTTGGGTACATATACTGTTTAAATTTTTAAAAAGTCTTACACAAGTCTTACACTCCCCCTAATAGGAAGGAGTAGCAGAATGTATTTTGGGTGTAATTATTGGTATGTTCACGCTATTTGTTATAAATATCTTATAGATTGACAACTTTGTGTTAAAAAAGCTACACTTGTCATAATTTTAAGACAACATTGGTCATAATTTTAAGACAACCTCAGCAACCCCGGTTCGAATCCGGGTCACGGCACCAATGTTGTCTTAAAATTATGACAAGTATAGCTTTTCTAGAGAGATTTAATGGACTCAATGACAATCCATAGAACATAAATCCAGGTGAATATTTGTAAAGATTGCAATGATACGTCACATCAAACATGGAGATCCAGCCCTTCTCCGGATGACCAGGGTGTATTTGTATATATACTTTTCCCGCAGCAACCAATAGTCCTTTCCCAGAGAGATGCATTTATTCGGATAAAGATATTTGTTACAGATGACAGAAATCCAGCTGAATACTTGTAAATGTTACAATGAACAACAACTCTCAAAGTCCCATTCAAGATACTTAATATCAAGCATAGAGATAGTACACCGTCCAGCATACCTAGGTTGCTCCCATGCATGCAATAATGTGAGTTATGATCTATACCTGTCCTGTCACCTGTGTTTTGTCACCCGTATCCTGACCTGTGCTCTGTCCCATGTATCCTGACTTGTGCTCTGTGTCCTGTGTTAATATACACATTTTCCCCATTCAGTACAATGGCAAGCACCCTGATTGGCCACTTTTAGTAGCATGTTTGATTTTATGTGTCTAGACCTAGAAACTTCCCCTGACTCTCCTTTATTTAATCAAAAACAGGTTAACCCAACACAACAAAGGTAATGTAATTACCTCCTGCATACATTAACATAGTAAGGAGTTCTTTTGGTGTGTAAAGTGGTCTTATCACTGGCCCGTCCAAGAATGAACAGTATGTGTTTCAATGTCTTCAATACATATACATATATATTACACACAATATACTACACACATCTGTATGTAAGATGCTGGAAAGCATGCATAAGAACTACACTCCCCCCCTCAAAAAAAAAAAAAAAAAAAATCCAAATAACGGTTACATTGACATCACAAAATGCAGAAAAAGCATTACAAACGGATCATTGATGTTATGTATTCACATGTTTTTATGTGTATGTACAAAAAGAATAAACCAACAGTGGAATATTAGAATTAATCATCAGTAGTTATACCCCTGACTATTTTGATTATTATCAGGAAAAAATAAACATTTATAGCAACAAAGGATGCTCTGCTTTATTGACAGGATAGGATAAAAGAATGAAGGAACCACTATAGTTGCTATCTCTGATTAATGGTTGTATCACAGTATGTAACCAAGCAAAGCTGTCCCTTAAAGGGCATAGTAAAAGAGGATAATTTAAGAAAAACCTCCATCTGGGTGCATATCTAGGCAAAACCTATTTTTTTGTTTTGTTCTGGATAATAGGGAAGGCTCTCTGTCAAGCTGTTATTGCTGTCTGAGTCCCCATTGGGGGGCTTCTCCCCTTTATTTGTATTGGTGGTCATTGTCACTGGGAAAGAAAGGGATGGGAAATCCAAAATCTTAGAATAGTCCCCAGAATAAGGGGTAAAGGGAAATCGTCCAATGGAGACACCTGTTCTGGGGACAACTGTCTTAAAGAGGAATCCCCCGTGCTTTGAGAGATTTCCTTTAACTTCCTATTACAGCTCTGGGACAAGAAGTGAAGGGAATTCCCACAATGGTTGACATACAATAATAAATAACACTGCAGAGGTTTTTAATTCCTTCTTTTTCTATCCATTACTAATAAAAAAAGGTTTGGGCTATACTATTAGATTGAAGCCTGAATCTCTTTTGTCACCTCTCAGTTCCACTACAAGCCAGTTGAGATTTCAAATCTGTGCATGAGCTGGTTTGTGAAATGTGAGATAAGTAGCAGTGAATTGACAATATACAAAATTATGACTGCAGACAGTTAACAGTAACATGTTTAATGTACTAGAACAGATTAGGCAGCATACAAAGTACAGGTCAAATTCATGCATACTGTACTTTGCATGGTACATTAGTTTACAACTTCTGAAAATACATGTTTTTTGGCGTGTGAGTTTCAGTATTAAGAAAGAATTTTACACACTTGAAAAGGAATAGTAACATATTGGCTTTTAACTTTTCTGTAGGCTCTATACACAACCCCTAAATTTAAAGAAGAGGCTTTATTTCAATGTATATTAATGTGTTCTGTTCCTCAGAAGACAAAGTACTTGACATACTAGTCCCATCTTCCTATGTGCTGTCTAATGCTAACTGTGAGGTTGGACAGGGCATCCCCCTTTCCTCCATGGCAGTCCGACAGTACAGCTAGCATGGAGACCGTTGCTTTTCTCCATTTTCAAGCACTTTCCTCAGTCAAGCACCTCATGAGGAATGTGAGGGGAGAGTGGCTTATTAGCTAAAATGTTCCAGGCAAGCAGGCAAGCGCTTGGAGTTGGAGATGGAGAAAAAGTGCTGTTCGTAAAAGCAGCCATCTCCTTGCTAGCTACATTGTTGGACAGCAGTGGAAGGAAGAGGGATGCCCTGTTTGATCTCACAGCTAGCCTTAGACAGCACATAGGAAGATGGGACAAGGTGCTATATTTATCTTGTTCCCTGGGGAACAGAACACATTAATAAAAATCTCCTTCTTTAAAGTATAGCTAAATTAATTGAGTAAGAAATGGTCAAAACCCTTGCAAGGTATTCTTTGTCATTGTATCCCATTCCAGAGATTTCTTGCCACTGTCAACCATGTAGACAGGAAATGAGAAGAAATTTCTCCAAAGTGAAAACAATCCCTAAGACATTTGTCATTGAAATAACTTTCCTGTTGGAAAATTCTTCTCTATGCTTTTTCCAGTGACAGCTCAAAATTTTGGCCTTCCCCTTACTTTTAGTTATACTGACAATGGTCCCCAGGAAATAGAGAGGGTGAATTTCCCCATCAGAAACACATACAAGAATAAACACCCTTTAGGTCTAACCCCTCTTCACTTTACCCAGACATAAAGAAAAGCCCTTTTACCTAAACTTTAAGCTGGGCCCGACCCCTAAAACACTACTATCATGGTGATGCTAGCAAGAACAAATAGAATCAGTACAGAAACTTAATTTTTTAATGTGCCATACTATGATCCCCAAAATCCAGTGGTACAAACTGTATATACCACCCCCCCTAACCACCCCCCCCCCCCAAAAAAAATACGTCTAAAATGTAAAACTTCTCTCCAGAGGAAAAGACTGTATGTATTGCATAGAAGCACCAATGGAGCTAACAAAAGACATTTGTCTGAGGCCATAATATCTACTGGAAAAAAAGGTTTTCCTTTTTTGAATCAGAGTTTCTCTTTATGATAGAGATCAAAATAAAACAATAAAAAGAAATTGCACATAAGAGGTAATGCTTTAAGGAGAATGTATTTTTTTTTCAGTAACCAAGAATAAAAAGGACAGTCTCATTACAATCCAAGTTGGAGGATATGGGATTTTTCAAATTTAAAGGATATTTTATATAACAAATAGGTCTTGGTCAAGAGACTGAAGCCTGTAAGAATGGACTTTTCTGAATCATAGCATTACTTGGCCTAATTACATTAAGACATATATGGCAGCAAAGATCACCAAGATGCCCAGAAGCTTAACAAGCATATTAAATGAACTGTGGGTCATTTCAGTATCTGTGATGCGAGTCTTTGTTGGCTTTATGACGCGATCCTTCTGAGATAGAATGGCTTTTCTGGCATCCTTCCATTGCCCTGGTCCACACGGAGGCGATACTGGTAAGGTGTACATGGACCAAATAATATCTCCCAGGCAAGCTTGGGATCTGACAGGAAAAGATGCTTAACGTTGGGCTTGCAGCCTACCTCTACTGCCATTTCATCCATGTATAGTACATAATCCACTTGTATGGTGTGACGCTCACTTTTGACATACCTGAAACAAGAGGTTTTGGACAATATTGTGAAAAGAATATTCCAAGATCGTTTTCCTATGGTCTCCTTATTTTTCTTGGAGACTTGTTATGGCTTTGATACATAAAGATCCATAAGTTATATCAGAAAATAACTCAGTGAGACATTTCAAAAGCACTAGTAATTTTCCAGAGAAAGAAGTGCCTTTTCTTTACTATAGACCACTTAAACAAAAGACACTAACAATTGTTGACCAACCAGGTGCACACAAGAAGAAGGTAATCATTATGTTGACTGAATCTAAATGGCCTATTTAACTCTCACAATTGATAAAAATAGATGCAATGGTTCACACAGCCCTAACCAGGAATACACTGGCCAGTATTGACCAAAAGACTTCCAGATGTCATGAATGTTCATTGTGAAGACACATCATAAATGTACCTGGATTCTAAAAGAAATAAAACATCTAGCAAGAGAGAAATGGCTCACATTTGCAAAGCACCAACATTTAACTAAAAGGACAATAGGAGCAACTCTTCCATGTTTGCACATAATGAATGTTCATTTACTCTCGTTGTTTCTGGGCATTAGGAGAGCCACACAGGAATTAGTAAGAACAAACATTATGAGGTGAGCTAAGGGACAGTTCAGCCAAAAGAAATAGGTTTAAATTTGAATCTAGTAATGGATTAAATAAAATCACGATACTATTAAGAAAAATTTTGAAAAAGACTCTCAAAGGATAAAATCATGTCAATTTCCCAACTATAAAATCCCATCAAGCATTAAACCAAATGTCAACCAATTTCCAATAACATATGCTGTGAATTGTGATTCTGGGTAGACCATTTCAAAAATATTACTTACTAACAATACGTACCTACATATCATAGTGAAAAAAGATATGAGGTATATGATATGATGGACTGAAATAACACATGTGCATCATCTGATAAAGTACCATGACAAATTACGGGAGTATTCTCCTTAATATCAACCATTTTCATAATAATTGATAACCGCAGAGATATAATTCTCACTTAATAAGGATGGTTCACAATGTTTAACCCAACGCAAATAAATGGACTTTATCAAGAGGGATATCTATGAAAGCTGCTTTGATATTTCATCATGACAAATATTTTGTTAATGCAATACTACTTAAATTTCACATAAGCAGAAAATCAAATCTTCATTCATGGAACACAACTGCCTCTAGTGGACAGGTAAAGAACATCTAAAATAAACGTCGTATTCTAACTGTCCAATTGACATTTGCTATGGGTGGACCCAGCAGACAGTGGATCCCCACAGTATTTATACAGAAGGAGAGCATTTTTAAAAAAAAAAAACTTTCTGCAAACGAAACAAAAAACCTTCTGCTGATGAAAGAAAAGAAACCTTTTGCCTACCAAAACACACACTTTTTGCTTGAAAGAAATCCTTTTGCTTGGAAAAAGAAAAGAAACACAGCTTTTGCTTTTAAAAAGAGAAATACCCTTTGCTTGGCTTACTGAAAGAGGAGAACTTTTGCTGGTTGGAGAGACTGCTGCTTGCTAAGGAACAACACTTTTCACCTGCCTACTGTTCCATCCAAAATCTCAAACGCTATCTCTGGGAGTGGTGAGATATTGTGGCCAGATTATCATAACGTTTATTCATACTAAAGTTATTACTAGAACTTTATAACTATTTTTATTGAGCTGTAGTGCTGGTACTGTGCATGCTGATATCAACTGCTAATTATTTCGTAATTGTATAGATCTTGTTGAACCATCGAGATTGGATGGTGTATAGGGAGATTGGGTGCTAATTTTTCGTGTCGGATTGTATTGCTTGTAGAATAGAGTTTTTTTTTTCCTCTCTATATTGGTATGCTGGAAACACATTGTTCTTAGGATGCATTTGAAGTGTTTCAGTTTTATAATGTCAGAAGTATTTTTCCTGACTTTCTTCGGCCGCGAGAGTTGTGGAAAATACATGGAATACTGAAATATAATATTTTTCAAATCGCCGATAAATCAAGAGTTTTGTTATTTTACTTTACTATTGCATACATTTTAAGACTGACCTAATTGCAATTTATCGTGGGTTATTCCTTTGATCGTGTGTAAGAAACACTAATCACCAGTAAATTAATTTGTATTAAAATATATATAAATATTTCTGTATATAAATAAATTATTTATTTATTATTCAAATTGGCGATATTTGTATATTTGGTAAGAAATCACATTGGTAAAAGAATTTAGGAAAATTACATTGTGCTGGTATATTTTATCAAGGTGTCTGTATTATTTAATATTATTGATTAAGTTATTTTGCCTTAATGGCTGAAGGCACTGTGTCCTAATTATATACGCGAGTCAGACACCGCCCAATTCATTAATAATTTATTATTCATAAAGCGCCACATTACCCAAAAGCACTACAGACTATAGTTAGCTATTTAAACATAAATTAGCAGGCATAGCCCAGCTAAAAAAGATAAAAAAACAAGTATTTTATTAAAAAAAAAAGTAAATTGTTAATGAAATACAGTGCTTTAGTACAATAGGGGCCTGTTTATAGCAAAGAGCTATTAGATCTCTTCTGTACACAGCCATATTATTACATACCGTGGCCTGTATTTTACAGACCACTCATAAAATGCAGCCCGCAATAATGATCATGCAATTGGTTATAGAGTTCTCTCTACCTAAAGTGATCCCGTCAGCACAGGGTCACGTGTAGGTCCATAAAAACAGTAAAAGAAGACAGCGTATACTTACCTATCCAGTGGCCAATTTCTTGAAAAGCTACCACTTCACCGTGCTTTCAAACACTGCACATATTTGCACACTTCTAGTTGTGTAAATAACTGCTAGCTGGCTGCTCTCTGTGGTTTCTCCTGCTGGACCATACATCACTACAAAAGCGAATAGGTAGGCACTGTACAATAAATTGTCATAAATTCAAAGTGGGACAAGCAATCCCACCATTTCCATGTGTTTTGATGGTATTGGCTGGAACATACGTCTCTGAATATCCCAAGATGGTCCTCCTGAAGTGAAGACACTACCAGGCAAAACGTACGTCGAAGCATGATTCCGTCACTTCCGGTTTCCTTAGACATCACATTCGGCCGTAGTGAGAGCGAGGCTTGAAATGCATGTCGGCCGTCTTTGACTTTACAGGCTGAACATACTGGTGGAATAGGCACCTATACATGTGAGTGCATAGCATTCTTTTATAGGTGTTCAATTATCAATAAATACTGCACTTAGAATGCATAAATGTCTCTTGGTTTCTTTGAGTAGCTTGGCAATACTAAACCAGGAGAACTAGAAGTCTATTAGCAGTATTTTGCAGATCTCTCGTTTGTTTCCACAAGTTTTTAGAAAATGAAGAAAGAAAAAAAATGAAAACATATTTTTTCCTTTCTTTTTTCTTTTTCAAAACCTGTGGAAAAATTCCTTGGGGTGTCTACTTTCCAAAAAAGGGGTTATTTGGGGGTGTTTGGTGCTATGCTGGCATTTCAGGGCCTCCTAAACTGTGATAGGTAGTGAGGAAGTGAAATGAGGAATTTAAGGACCATCAGGCTTTCACAGGGGTCATTGGATTTTGGGCTTCTGTATGTGGCTAGGCTTCCAAAAAGTTTCACACTTGTGGTATCAGGAAAAGTAGCAGAATATGTTTTGGGGTGTAATTCCAAATATACCCATGACATGTGTGAGCAATATACCATTTAAATGACAACTTTCTGTAAAAAAAACTTGTGGAGAAAAAATAAATCTTCCATGGACTCAACATGCCTCTCAGCAGATAGCTTAGGGTGTCTACTTTCCGTGTTGTTACTGCCCTTGCATTTTAGCACCTCTCGAGAAATATGATACAGTCAGAGAGTAAATTCCAGTATCTATACCATAGTTTGTAGACGCTTGGGATCTGACAGGGGTCTGCCCCCAGAGCTATGGACTTAGGATACAGGGGGATATGTGATAGACCAACACAAAGGGGCACATAATTGTGAAGTGGAAGGAAAATGATAAATGGTTTTCAAAACATTTTACAAATAACTAGCATCTATAAATGGCAGTATATATAATGGAATTTTATTTTTTTTATACTAGTAATCGCAGCGATCAGCAACTTATAGCGGGACTGTGGGAATGCGGTAGACATTCTGACACTGGGTTCTGTGCAATGGTTGATGCTTTGATATGTAAAGTTTTACAAACACATGCCAAACTTTCAAAAATGTGTCCAGGCACTATGTTTTGTTTTATTTCCCATCATGAACGGGTTAAAGTGTAACTTCACGTTTGATGAGAAAAAAAACAATCCTTTCCAAGACTGTCTGATTATCAGCTAGAACTCCTGGAGAAATCAATCACCCCGACGGAAACCCTAAATGCTAACAAGACCCTGAAGCTATGCAAACGCCCTGGTCCTGATGGCTTCTCCGCAGCTTATTTGAACACCTTCTTTCTCCAGTTCTTACGAATGCCTTCAATGCCATCCTCTCCGGTCAGTCCTTTAAACCCGAAACAGTGACCGCCACTATTTCCATGATTCCAAAGCCCAATTCCGATGACTCTGCCTGGTCCAACTATAAGCCAATTTTCCTCCTTAATGTAGACATTAAACTTCTCGCGAAAATACTCTCCACTCACCTTAACCCATTTATAGGCTCCCTAGTCCACAATGACCAACTAGGCTTCATACCAATACGCCAAGCGGGTGACAATGTTAGGCGCGCGGTTCTTCTGGCACATTTGGCTTGAGCTCGTAACATTACTACATGCTTTCTCTCTCTGGATATCAGAAAGGCCTTTGATACGGTCTCTTGGCCCTACCTTTATTTTATCTTGCGTCGCTGGGGCTTTTGAACACACTTCTTGTCATGGATCTCATCCTTATACAGCGAGCCAATGTTCAATATCTGGGACTCAAATCATCTTCATTCCCAATCCTTTGTGGAACTCACCAAGGTTTATCCCCATTGCTTTTCACTCTAGCCATTGAACCCCTGGCCCTCTAGATTAGAAAAAATCCTGATATTTGAGGACTCGAGATAGGTGGTACTCACCATAACCTTTGCCTCTTTGCGGACAACATGCTTCTTCTCCTCACTTTTCCACTGACCTCTACTCCGACCCTACTCCAGCTTCTCCATGGTTTTGGCCATATTTCCGGCCTACATGTTAATCCCCAAGATTCGATGGCACTAAATATCTCCTTAAACTCTCACGACCTGTCCCACCGGCAAAAAGTCCTACCACTTTCTTGGACTCAGCAATCCATCCCCTATTTAGGCGTCAAGCTGACTGCTAGCCATTCCGACCTTTATTCCAAAAATTACCTACCTATGCTATCTCATCTCTCTAGCCTCATGACCAAATGATCCTCCCTACCATTGGCTTGGATTGGCAGAATTACTGTAGTAAAAATGTCTATCCTTCCTAAAATACTGTACCTGTTTAGAGTCTTATCCATAACAGTACCCATGCACTTTCTCTGCATCTTGCAGAGGCGTGCCTACTCATATATCTGGGGTTCCGTTCGTCCCCGTGTACCTCATTCAACTATACATAAATTTAATCTCATCCCGGTCTTTCCACCAGCCTGGTCCTCCGATCCTTCAATTACTGGTCCTCAGCAAACCTACTTTGTCCCCACCACTTTGTGACTAATAGGGGCTTCAAAACTTTCTCCTCTCTCCGCAAATCGTACTCTATACCAGCGTTGGAAATCTTTAGATACCTTCAAATACAGCACTTCTTCGCTCCAATCGCCACCCAATTCCAATCCACCCGTTCAATGTCCACCTTTGAACGCTGTTGCTACAAGGACCCACAAAGGTGTGGCCTTATTTCAGCTCTTTATAGCCTTTTGTCCACACCAGAGTCTCCTCCTACCCCTACATATGTCACTGGATGGGAGAAAGATCTATGACTTCAATTGGGCCCTACAGATTGGGACTGTATCTGGTCAGCTGCCAAGTCCTCTTTGCAGAATGTGGTGGCCGTAGAGACTAACTACAAAGTTTTGACATGATGGTATTTAGTCCTGGCGAAGATAGCTAAATATACCCCTGGCTACCCTCCAGAATGCTGTAGGGGTTGTGCGATGGTCGGAACTTACTTTCATATTTATTGGTCTTGTCCGGTTGCCCAAACCTTCTGGACTGAAATTTTTCACATGCTATCCCTGCTATTTGCTCAACCACTACCACCAGATCCGATTGTAGCCCTCTTAAATCTTCATCCCCCTCTATCTCTAAATCTCAATTTAAACTTCTCCTATAACTCACCACAGCAGCTAAACAGATCATGGCCAAAGTGTGGAAGTACCCATCTCTGAATATCCTTGCAGTTAAGAATGAAGTTACCCAAGCAATGATCCATGCCAAAGTGGAAGCTACCGTCCTAGATTTGGTCCCGAAATTCCTGACCATATGGATTCCATGGTTGGACCGGTTCCTTCCGCCAAACTTTGATGATACGCTGCTTCTCCCTTAGCACTATCTAGTCCCTCCTTGTGAAGGCCCTACCATTTTCATTTAAATTATACCTTGGTTTGGTCCAGAGAATACCCTTTCTCCCCCGGAAATCACACACCTTCCTACCTCCTTCTCAGTACCTGCCTCTGGTTCTTCCTATTCTCCTCCCCTCCTCTCTCTCTCCTACCTTAACCCTTTTTCTGTGGCCTTATGCGGAACCCTCATGTAGTTCAAGGAAATATTGCTCTTCTCCCAGAGCTTGCCATGTCTCACCTTCCCTTGTTATGCAACACTTTCAACTGTTAAATGTGTATCATATTGCTATCCCTTTCTGTGGAAGGGCAACCTGTTCTTCCTTATCCCCCCCCCCTTTTTACCTTTTTTTCTTTTATGTTTTTTATTGTTTTGTTTTGTTCATATACATGTATTTGAGATGCCTTATGTTTGTTCCTTTGGCTCTGTAAATTAATAAAATGTTTGAACAAGAGAAAAAAAACAATCCTCTGTAAGTAATAAATGTTCCTGAATAGGAGGGTCTGGTGCATTATAAGCACCTGGTGCACTTTCAGTGTTCTAATAAGAAAAGCTAATGGCCACTACTCAGTCCTCTTACTCCTTGACCTCTCCACGGCCTTCGACACAGTTGACCACCCCCTCCTCCTTGATAAAAACTACACTCCCTCGGCATCAGAGACTCCGCTCTCTCCTGGCTCTCCTCCTATCTCTCCCAACGCTCCTTTAGCGTTACCTATAACGCTACCACCTCCCCCTCTCTCCCCCTCTCTGTTGGGGTCCCCCAAGGCTCTGTTCTCGGGCCCCTTCTCTTCTCCATCTACACCTCCTCCCTCGGCAAACTGATACACTCCCACGGCTTCAACTATCACCTCTACGTCGATGACACGCAAATTTACCTCTCCACCCCTCAACTCACCCCTTCAGTCTCCACCCGTATCACCCACCTGCTGAACGACATATCAGACTGGATGTCGCTCCACTTCCTCAAACTGAACCTTTCCAAAACCAAGCTCCTAATTTTCCCCCCAGCCCGCGCCCCCACCCTCTCCATCACGACCAACAACGCCACCATCAGTACCACCCCGCAAGCCAAAGTCCTAGGTGTCACTCTAGATACAAACTTGTCCTTCCAATACCATGTCCAATCGTTAGCAAGCTTATGCAGGCTCCACCTCGTATCATCTCCAAAATACGTACGTTCCTAACCCCAGATACTACTAAACAACTCGTTCACTCCCTTATTATCTCACGTCTGGAATACTGCAACTCCCTCCTCACCGGCCTACCCCAACACAGGCTATCCCCACTTCAGTCTATCCTGAACTCAGCGGCCAGACTCATCCACCTTACCAACCGCTCCTCTTCTGCCACCCCTTTCTGCCATTCCCCCCATTGGCTCCCGATTGCCCAACGCATCAAATTCAAACTACTAACACTGACATACAAAGCCATTCATAACACTGCCCCAAACTACCTCACCGACCTGATACCCAAATAACACCCAACCTGTAATCTTCGCTCCTCACAAGACCTCCTACTTTCTAGCTCCCTGGTCTCCACCTCCCACTCCCGACTGCAGGACTTCTCCAGGACCTCCCCCATCCTCTGGAACTCACTACCCCAATCCATCAGACTGTCACCTTCCCTCCTCACCTTTAGGTGCACCCTGAAAACTCATCTCCTCAGGGAAGCCTACCCCACCCTCACCTAACTGCCGATCTCCTCCACTCCTCCTACCACTCCATCCCCCATAGCCACTTCCTCCTGTGCGACTATCCCCTCCCTCCTAGATTGTAAGCGCGAAAGAGCAGGGCCCTCGAACCCTCGTGTATTGTTTGTTGCTGTATTGTCTCATGTTCTGTCCCCCACTATAATGTACAGCGCTGAGCAAACCGTTTTGGCGCTATATAAATACTGTATAATAATAATAATAAAAAAAGTTGCAGTGTCTGCATCCCCTTAGAAGTATTCAAAAATAAAATTCATAATGCATGGAATGCCTAAAATTGTCAATGTAGACTTCTGCAAAAATCAGCATGCACTCATGCAAGCATGCATGAATGCCTAAAAACATGGTGTTTTCAGGTGTCCCATGTGCAAGAGGCGTAAAAGTGGAGATCCAATTCCTCAAACTTTTTGACCAATTCTGTGCATGGAGATTGGCTAACCTGTTCTCCAAGTCTTTCTTTCTCTTGTTGATCTCTTCCTTCATTTCATTCATGGATGGAAGCTTGGCAAGACCTAAGATAAGTGTAGACATGGTTAATAACATTTAAAGCCCAACTTTATATACAGCTATAAAAATTAAAAAATAAGTTGCTCATATAAAGGTCTGCTTTTTTTTTTATTCATCCTCATTTCCTCCTTTCCCCAACATAACTAAAAAGCCATTTGCAAACAAACCATTTGCTCAAAAAAAAAACTTACCTAAGCCCCAGCCTCCAACACTTCTGAGAGATCAAACACACTCACACCACCTCGGCAATACATACGCTTTAAGTTCATTGTTAACTGTTATTTTTATTGTTCACACGTGTTAAAAATATGCTTTGATATCTGATTGGATATCAAACCTTTATTTTAACACATGTGAGAACAATTAAAAATGACAGATAAAAATCATCTTGACCGCTGGAAGGTTTTACCCCCTTCCTGACCAGGCTATTCTTTGCTTTTCAGCACTGTGCTTCTTTAACTGGCAACACACACACACTCAAACACATGTTTGAGCTTTGGTTTGGAGTGCACACCTATGACTGTTTATATATCTAGCTATATATATTTTTAAAGTGCATTATATCATGGCAGTGTGGTGTTATAATGCGGTTGAATTTATATATATATTGCACACATTTGTGTTGAGGCCGTGGACTGCTACCAGCTGCGGTTTTGCTGCGGCATCAAACACAGGCGCAGCGACACGAGACACAACCTCCAACCAATACTGTAAATGGGGGGGGGAAGTGCTTCACAATTCTTTGCCTATAGGCTCCTGAGATGTAACTCCAGTCCTGATGAGATATGCACCATTTCTCAAATGAATGCAAAATCAAAAAAAGTGTGCTTTCATGTGCTAACCTAGTGTGAGTTGGGTCTAAAGCCCCACTCTCAGTCTGTTAGGCCAGGGGGTCTCCATACTTTCTAAAGAAAAGGCCAGTTTACTGTCCTTCAGACTTTAAGTGGGCTGGACTGTGCTGCATGGGAGTAAACAATTCCTCATCTTTGGTATTTGGGGAAGAAACAATTGAGTACTAACGTGATACTTTTTTTATTTGCACTAACATACAATTTTGAGGACAAGCTTTTGGGGTATGTCCACTTCTTCAAGGTACTGCCTGGACCTTGAAGAAGGGGACATACCCCAAAAGCTTGTCCTCAAAATTGTATGTTAGTGCAAATTAAAAAAAGTATCACGTCAGTACTCAATTGTTTCTGTTGCAAGTGCAGTAATACGGCTACAATCACCTCAAGCGTATTTGGGGAAGATATGGAAGAATAGTGCCCCATTTATGGTGTCAGTGGAAGGCATAATTCTCCATTATTGTTAACAGCGGCAGGAATTATGCCCCATTGTTGTTGTTAGTGGCAGGAATAATGCCTCAAGGGCCAGATAAAGGCAAGCAAAGGGCCGCAGTTTGGAGAACATTGTGGTAGGCAAACAGACAACTAGCAATAATTTAAGTTGTATTGAAGCAACGGCATTCATGTGAGACCTTTTCTCAAAGTCCTCTTTCAGATGCAGAATGTTAGTATTTTCTGTCCAGGGGACCAGACAATAAGGGCTGCTCCCAGGGGACTGGTCCCCTCACCACCTCTTCTGTAAATTGATCTGGAATATTGCTGACATTATCACATCAGCATATAGAAGAGCTATGGATGGAGCTATGACAAGATTTTGAACTTAGTGCCTATTTTTGCACATCCCTTCCCAGCTCCGTGCAGTATTTTTTAGACCCATTCACTTGTAATCTTGACTGTTTTGTACTACTGTTATTCCCTTGGACACCATCCACAAACCCACTCAAGTAATGCCCACACAGGACACTGCATGATGCATGATGGGATGTGTAGTTTACTGCTGAATGGGGAGAGATAGGAGGAAATCATATGCAGCACCACTGTTTACCCATGTACGTAGCCCAGGAGATATGAATAAAAAGGTGGCCACTGATGGCCTCACAGGTACCAATATTTTTGATTTTGTGCTGAATTATACATTTGTTCAGAAACACAGTATCATAGTCATAATAAGGGGATCCATATGAAGGATTGGCAGTTTTGATGAAGGTATGGGCTTTCATTAATACGGTCATTTCTTATTAATTCAAGAGCTCTCTTATCTCAGCTGAGAGCTCCTGATATCTACAGTGGGATCCACATTCCAGGACCACCACTACACTGGAATAGAGTCTTTGGTTTCAGTATTGGGCCTCTGCAACCCTCAGTCTGCCATGACATTCACAAAATACATCACAACTTCCTTATTAAACTTTATGAATGACACAGCAGAGTGTAGGGTCTAGGCCCTAGACTCTAGGGGATATGTGGGGGATGGAGGAGGCACAACACTGGTTCTGGTGTTGTCCATAGACCTTGTTCTGATGCAGTGATAAGTCAAAAGTGCAGTTCCCATTGCACATACAGTATCAGGAGCTCTCAGGGGAGTTGATAGAGCTTCTGGTTAGTAAAAATTTGACAGTGTTAAAAGAGATGTATGGCCAAATGTCCATACTTCTCTTCATACAAATCAGTTGACAGTGGGTCAGGCTCACAGGCTCTTGAAGAATCCCAACCATATTGTCAGGATTCCACCTATTTACTTTATTGACCGCTGGCTCTGACTCTCTGCCCGTGGCTGAAAGCCAAAGTCAGCTGTGCCTGCCCCTCTCCAGCTCAGCACTCCAGTGATCCCTGGAGGAGCAGAGCGGAGAGCAGTGACTGACAGTCACCACTCTTCACTCTACACGAGTAAAGTGACAACTGAGCAATCAGGGGCCAAGTTCTACAGCTTAGAGGGGGCAGAGGACAGCTGTAGAATCAGACCAATGTTGCAGCATGGAGGTGAGTATGTATGTATATATATATATATTTTTTTATAAACCCCATACATCTAAGTTAATGTAAAAATTGGAGATTTTACAAAATGCTGTGCCTTGAGTTGGGCTTTAATAGGCTTTTAGTTTACGTACGTAAACTATAGGGCAGGGGCATGGCTTGACCCAACAATTTAGCCTATTGGTTTCAATAAGGATGATGGGCTTGACAGGCAGCCAGATAATTAGATTACATAAACTATGTATGCTAAAATTATTTTGTGCTACATAAATTATAACACAAAACTATAATGCTACATAAATAGTACAATACACAATAGTAATAAGTGTTTAACCACTTGCCTACAGGGCACTTATACCCCCTTCCTGCCCAGGCCAATTTCCAGCTTTCAGCGCTGTCACACTTTGAATGACAATTGCGCGGTCATGCAACACATATGAAATTTTTATCATTTTTTTGTGACAGATAGAGCTTTATTTTGGTGGTATTTATTCACCTCAGGGTTTTTTATTTTTTCTTAAACAAACCAAAAACTGTTGAAAATTTTGAAAAAAAAAGTTTTTTCTTAGATTTTGTTGTAAAATGTTGTAAATAAGTGATCTTTCTTCTTCACTGATGTGTGCTAATGAGGCTGCAGTGATGGGCACTGATAGGCTGCACTGATGGACACTGATAGGTGGCACTGATGGGCACTGATGAGGAGGCACTGGTAGGTGGCACTGATGGGCATTGACAGTTATCACTGATGGGCACTGAACGGCGGCACTGATAGGCGGCACTGACTGGCACTGATAGGTGGCACTGATTCACAGCACTGAGATAGGTGGCACTGATTGGCATTGATAGGTGGCACTGACTGGCACTGATGGGTGACACTGAAAGGCAACTCAGATAGGCACTGATATCTGGAATTGATGTGGCACTGGCAAGTGGCACTGTTCAGCTGGCACTGATGGACACTGACAGGTGGCACTTCTGGGGCCACACTGATCATCAGGGCACACTGATCATCAGTGCTCTGATGATCAGTTTACATGTCCCCTCCACGGAATGCCGATTACCGGCTCTCCTCTCCTCTCGAGCTGTCAGCGTGACAGCTCGTGAGGAGAGAAATGCCGAAAACCGGCATTTCCCTGTTTACATGTGATCAGCTGTGATTGGACACAGCTGATCACATGACCAGGCCGACATCTTCGGCTCTTTCTGTAGATCGGTGATCCGCTGTGTCCGAGGGACACAGCACACCTCTGATCGCCGCGTTGTGCGCTCCCTAAGCCGTGCATGCGCGGTGAGAATGGGAGGACGTCATATGACGTCCTCCCAGAATGAGAGAACCACCTTGCGCCCGTCATTGGACTATATGGCGGGCGGGAGGTGGTTAAAATATACTGAAAGTGTATATAAAGCCACAATAAAGTAGGTAATGGTAGAACCCCAGTCATTTTTTTTTTTATTTTTCCATCTTTGTCCCCCTGGGGGGATTTTACTTCAATTCTTGACCTATAGAGTGAACAGGATGTAACATAAAATTTCTCTAAATGGAGCAAAGTCCTTTTATTTACAAAATGTGTATTGAAATTTCCTTTTTGTACAAAGTACAAAAGTGACTATGTGTAATAAATACACTTAACATCATTAAGAATTATACCAAAGGGAGAGAGAATCTCCGCAACAACAAATAGGAAAGGTGTAAATAAAAGAAATGACCAGGCCACTCATGGGAGTGTTCAATGAGCACGACTGGTGGTATTGATACGGCATGAACAGGCCCATGAGGAATCCTCCATCTATTCATCAATAAACAGTGTTTAAAAAACTGGGGAGGGGTGCGCCTGGTATCTAAAAGACAGGATGAAGTGTGTCAGGATAGGATAGAAGGAAAGCAGGAATAGAGAAAAAAAGGAAAAGGGGAAGAAGTGTGGAGGGGGAATGGTTGGAGAGGGTGGTGGGGGGAGGGGCGTCTGTGGGTCCAATCAATGTTAAGCAAGTGCGGGCCCAAGGCCAATGATCACAGGGTGTGTGTCTGATAATATGGAGGCTGATTTTTCAGAGTCATGGTTCCCAGGGGATGCTGTTTGAAATCGACAAAGTTTATTGAGGGTCATTTCCAAGCCCTTGCTAGGGTCTGCTGTGCGGCCAGGAACACATGTCCTACCAGCTTCCTTTGATATTTGCCCAGGTGTGCGATAGGCTTATTCAAGAGGGCTTCTGTTGGGTTATGGGCAAAATTAGTGTGCAGGACCGAACAAAGTAGGTTATAAACTCTTATCCAAAAGCAAAAGGCTACAGGGCAGGTCCACCACAGGGTGCCACAGTTAGTGCAGCACCGGAAGAAATGTGGAGAGACATTGGGGACAAATCTAGACAGGAGGTCAGGGGTCAGTTACCACTGGGATAGCACTTTAAAGGTGTTCTCCTGCACCAATATGTTGAGCGAGCATTTGGAGGAGGCCAGCCCAATAGCATTCTAGTCTTATATCCAGGGTGATGCCGAGATCCTGCTCCCACCTGTCCATGTATGCTTGCCTATTTGAGCCCATGGTGTCTGTGAGTGACTCTAGACCTTTCGAATATTGGTCCTTTCTACAACTGTTTTTAAAAGGAGTTAAGTGTTGGGGGTTTTTGTGCGACCATGTCTGAAAGGTAATGTTGAATTTGGATGTAGAGAAAGAGATTTCCCTCTGGTAGGTGCCAATTTCGATAGAGAGAGATAGCCAAAGGACTTAATGCAATCTAGAGAAAGGAGTTCATATGTATATCTGAGGCGCCACCAGTGGACTGCAATGGGGTTCTCATAAGGTGGGCCGATGGAAGGTATGTTGAGGAGTGAGAAGTCCCAATAACGGGAGGTAAGGAGAAATTAAGTTACTAGAATATTTCCCCCATAGTCTAAGGGAGTGCAGGAAGTCGGAGATGGCAGGAAGCCGTGAGGTGATGAGATGCAGGTGGTGAGTTGTCTGAGTCTAAGTACATTTTATGCAAGTATAGAAATATATCTGATGGTCCTGACAGAAATCCAGTGCCCCTGTAACTTCCTGTGTACTGAATTGAAAGTGGTTTTAGACAGAGGTGCCTCGAAATTTTGCATACTGTTAACGGGTGCTATGAATGGCAGGTGGTTGAGAAATGTTGCACTGTGGAAGTTATACTGCAATGATTTTCCATGCAAATAACATGCAAGATTAAACGTCTTCTCTAGGACCACTGATTTGTTACCTCAGAGGCTGCTTTTTCTCCTAGGATTCCATTTCGGTTGTATTTTCAACTGTACTGAGGAGCAATCTATGGAGGTACCTTATGGATTGGGTTATAGGCTATTAATCATTAGCCTTCTGGCGAGTGCATGGTGGTAGAGGGCCTGGCACTATGGATTGAGCACACTGGATTGAGGGCATTGGGAAGATTATTGGAGATCACTATAGGATTGTTTATTCCTTTTTTTGGGATTTTTTTTAATGGATTTTGATTACATATAATCACTGGCACTTTCTGAGCACTATTAAATTAATTATTTATATGTATTTATTAATTTATATATCCACCTTTGTTTTTATGGACACTTTGTGAAGTACGCAGATATTTTAGGGTAATTGTCATCTATATATATTTTGTTGTAATTTTTTTTGTAAGCTATACCACACAGCTCTCTCTGGCAGGACAGGAAACCTCTGCTACAGTTCAGTAAAATGTATGTCTCGTCCTGACCCAAAGCCTGTAATTAGACAATGAAAGGGGAAGCAGCAGGCTGATGATCTTTTCTCTCTCTCCTCCTATGGGCATGCTCCTTGCACTGCAGCACAAATGACTTGCTTTTTGTGCTGCTTCTTTCTCTACAAGTCTGAGATTTGCTGTATATGGACTACAAGAGGTTGATACCAAATCAAATTTGAGTATTTACACAAATAGCATATATTTTTAAAAATACATGTACGAATACATGATGTAAATATACTGAGCTGCCCCCATTTCCGTGTATTTTATATCTGCCTGGAGTTCCACTTTAATCATGATAGAATAATTAAACATCAATAAATAGATGAATAATTCCATTACTCTTTACCTTGGAAGACTCTTGTTGCCCAGCGAGCCTGAATCTCAGAGACTGGCATTATAGCACCAATTGGTTGGATGTAACCAATGAAAGCCATTGATGGTTTTTCCAGATTCGCAGGAAACACCATTTTGTACAGAGGCACTTCATTCTGTTCAACCTTTATAACAGATTCATCAATGAAAGGGAATGAAAAATTATATCCCGTGGCAAAAATGACCACATCGATGTCTTTTTCTACTGTCCCATCTTCAAAAAAGGCATTTGTCTCAGTGAAACGTGTCACATTAGTTTTCATCAGCACTTTGCCGGAGATAATGCGATTAGGTAAATCATCACTAATTGTTGGATGCTGACCGAAAAATCTGTAAATATATATAAATATATATATTTATATGTAAGTAGAGACATGATTTATGTAAAATGGTAGCTTTTGCATTAAACATATTCTGATACTGTAGAACTTGACCAATGTACAAGTTTTGTCCGATTCCTGAAAAACCCACTGAAATTTACTTTGTGAGTGGCCCTGTCAGCCTCCTCACACCCAACGGCCTTTGACTGGAAAACCAAAAGAACGAGTTAGAAGATTGTCAGCCGAATAGTGTCAGCCAAACAGTGGCTGCATCCAATCAGATGCAACCACTAGCTATCGGAATGCAATAGCCCAATGGGCATGGGGGGGTGAGAAATTGATCTCCCCAAACAGGATTTTATGCTAAACCTGTAGGTAAATATGAGAACCATTAAGTGGGAGAGTGTTTTTGATAATAAAGTTGCCACTATCTCCATCCAAGCACCCAAGACAGGGCTTCTGTGAGCAGAGGGGATTCCCTTCCTGGAAAATTAACCAACAATCTAATCAAAGTAATTGATAAAAGAGGAACTACTGCAGCCAGCAAATACTATTAACCAAAATGACATAGATACACGAGTATGGAAATAATGTAATAATAAAAGGTTAATAATCCTACATATATCCAATGTACAAACACGTATTGTCAACAAAGGGCCTGACTGGAGTCCTGGAGGAATTGTGCACATATTCCCGGATATCTATATATACTGTAGCTAATAATAAAAACACCCCCAGATGAATGTTTCAGCAAAGTCCAGTTGCAGGGGCCCCTGATGATGATCATGATGTGGTGTCTGTCTTGGCGTTGAAAACTTGAAGTGATGATGGGGAGATCTGCCAACCGTTGTCCAACCAGCATGCAGCGTAGCTTCTCACCAGAAGAAACCATGGAGTGGCACTGGAACGCAGGGTTAGCCTATCTACTCTGCTTCTTAGTCCCTAGTAGCTTCTAGTTTACCATGCAACCAGACCTCTACCTGTGGGCCGTTGGATGCCTAATCTGATTTAGCCTATGCTGGTTATTGAGCTCTAAGCGAACACTAGTTATAGAATCCAAAACCAGAAAGGACATGGTTAACTAGAATACAGGAGCTGCATATAAACTCTATTGCAATAAACAGGTGACCACTATGCAAGCACACTGTGTCACAGACTGAACTATCTGGTAGAATGCATGTGTCATAACAAGGGGACAGATATACTTTTGTCACCAGTCTATGAATATTATGCATACAGCCAGAAGCTATGGGCAACAATAGTAAAGTATTAAATATTGTCTAATAATTCCTGCTTTTGGTCTGGATTCAGCAGCAGCTCTTCCATAGCAGGACGTGGTTATTAAACTCTCCCTTTATAGTTTCTCCCTCTGGGGCTTCCAACCCAATCACCCAGAGACAGGAAATGATTGTACACACATTTAATTATATGATACTTAAGAAGCACAGTTATTTACAAACAGTAAAGTGCAGCAGATCCCTACACTATCTATAATGTGTGGTCAGCTACTGTATAGACTATAGGTCAGGAGTTCTGACTTTACACACCCAAAATGCCCGGGACAATCCCGAAATTCCACCTATGTCCTGCTCAGAGCTTTGACAGAACCTCAAAAATGTAGCTCCATCACGGACACTCAAGCAGAGAGATCCCTCCCCCTACCTCCTCTATCAGCCCTGAGTGAAGGGGTATGGACACCTGAGGGTGATCACCGTGTCAGTATAATGCCCAAAGGTGTGTTCCCCAACAGTTTTTACTGGGAGTTTTTTAAGGCAACTCAAAACAGATAATGTAAATAATTTTATTACAGAATTGTTAAGAAACATCGTAATTTGACACATCACACAAATATTAAAATCATTCATCAAACATGACAAGAAATGCCTGTAAAACTTGCTATGAGCTGAGAAGTGAGGATTCACCCTCTTTTGTGACCCAGAAGAAAACGAGAGGCAAGTGAAAAACCCGACGTGTTTCAGAACAAAAGTCTTTCTTCAGGCATATGCTGAAGAGGAAGGATGGCCAGCAAAATACTCTACAGAGTATAGTGGACATGATTTAAAATTAGCAATAACATCACTAATATTATACAATCAAGAACATATATATATCTAAGTCCTACATACCATCCAATTTTCTTCTATACGTTTAACTTGCCATGATTGCACAAAGAAAGGCAAAGAATTATCTATTCTTGATGTGCTCACCAACAACACCTTGATGTGCCAAGGCTGGATGGGAAAAGGGTAGCTTAGGAGGAGGGGGAGGAAACCAATCCCCAAAGTGATTCTTTCACACAGGGATCACCTGTAGGTAGACAGTGGAGCCACTTTGGTGGCTAGGAGGGTCAAAAATGGGTCTATAAAGACACAATGTGAAACTATTACTATACTATCTGCCCTCGAAGCTTAAAAAACAAATTATCAGAGAAAAGAATCATATATACTAAATGAAAAAGTAAAAAATTACACGATTGGTTATACGTAAAATAAATTTACTGAAATGAGATGGCATCTCAACAAAAAAGAGTTTCAACAATAAGAGCGTATGCATATATGTGAATATATAAATGCATAAGTGCCACAGTAGCCACAGATTCCCAGCACTAGATATTATGCAGACAGTTCCATTAGGGGACAGCACAGAATATTAAATAAACTACATGTCTGAAAATAGGTATATATACCTTTAATAGTCAAGGCATAAACAAATATATATGTGTAGGCGCCACAGTATCCATGAACTCTCTATACCTAATATTGTCCTGACAGTTCAGGTCCTATCAAAATTTGGGCAAATTACTATATCAGCGGTGCATTGCATAAAAAATAACAAATCATATGCAAGAGGGGGTTATTTGTTTGCTCCCCCCTTCTTCCAACTTCCTAAGAAAGGTTTGGGTGTCCAAAAATATAACGCTAAAAAAAATGATGAAAGGAAAGCTTTTTCTTACCTGAATCTCCCAATACATTCTCATAAAATATGCTCCTCGTGGTGGTAATATGACATCAAAAGATCTACCATGTACTGCATAAATCAGGATTTAAATATGGCATCAGGACCACCAGGCTTGCGCAGCCTGAGCCATAAACCGCGCATACGCAGCTCCGCTGTCATGGCAACCGCTGAGGCATTGGTGCCATGCCCCTACGATGTCACACATCAAGAGCCTCGCCAGCACACAGTTCCAGCAGACTGGCAGGATGCCAGTACCAGGGCGGGATGAATTAGACCATGGAAGAGGGAAGTGGGCAACACAGCCCTCCACCTCCTCCCAAACACTGCTGGTTGTGGGTAACTGACCGGCCCTGGTGCACCAGGTGGAGAAAAATCATACAAGCAGGGAAGGTACCTTCCCCACAAACAAAGACTCCTCAGCATATACACCTTGGATCACACCAGTGGTTGCAACAAGAAACATACATACAAGGTGTATGTAAGTAAAACATACAGCTCAATATCAACAGGCTAGATGTAAACATAATAAATGCATAATACATAAAAACTGGCAAGCATGACACCCAAATTCTCAATACTAAGAGATGATGTGGTGTGTGGATTAATCTACAAGGTCTAGATATGTGGGAGGGGAAAACTCATGAGGATAACCTATAAGGATGGACATCTGCCTCAAATTATCTTTCCCACCAACTCGAGACAAAACTATCCCAAAAGGGCTTAAAACTGAGTGTGTCGTTTAGTCCTGGAGGGGTAGTAGCATTGAGCAATGCAATCCATCTAGTCTCATTTTGAAGTGAAAGTTTGAAGGAACTATTCAACCACCCTGACATAACGATAAAGCCATCTGATAAAGGTGGAAATATTGTTGTCATGAGCAATGATCAATACAAACAAATGCGCCTCAGTTCTGAACAATGCTGAGTGGTATCGCCCAATTTCTGTTTTAGATAAGTACAATCGAGAATTCTATCTCTTAGTTGATGATGCCTTTTTAAATGGGGTCATAGATAAAACACTATGGGAATTTGTTTGTACAAATCACTCCAAAACTCCAACTTTCTATGCTCTGCCTAAGATTCATAAGAATAGCACTGACCCTCCAGAAAGACCAATTATATCAGGCTGTGGTTCTTTGACAGAAAATATTAGCCACTTTGTAGAAGAAAAATTTAAACCTTTTATTACTAGTTTTCTATCTTACGTCCGAGATACAATCAATTTGTTACAAAACCTGGAGGGCATCCAACTCTCTAAAGATGCTATTTTGGTAGCCATTGATGTTGAGACACTGTATAGTTCTATTCCCCATGATAAGGGACTCTCCATTAATAAATATATACTGTCTCAGTCACATAGGCAAGATCAAAAAGTAAAATAATTTGTAGTTCTGGCCTTGGAATATATTCTAACTCACAATGTCTTCATTTTCTAGGGTTCCCACTTCCTCCGAGTGCAGGGCGTGGCTATGGGAACATGCTGTGCCCCATCCTATGCCAATGTGTACCTGGGGGAGTGGAACAAACTTTTTTGGAAAATGAGGAGTGGAGGTTTTTGACCAATCATATCAGTATGTGGTATCGCAACATAGATGGCATCTTCCTTATTTGGGAAGGACCCCCTAACTTACTTTCACATTGTCTTGAAGCCATGAACAATAACACCTTTAATTTCAAATTTACAATGGCTTATGATCTTGCTATGATCACCTTTTTAGACTTCACTTTCAACAAAGATTCAGATGGAATTCTTACAAGTAACCTTTGCAGGAAAGCCACTGCAGGCAATGCAAGCCTTCATGCTCAGAGTTCACACTCTCGGTGCCTTATTTCATCAATTCCCTATAGCCAGTACCTGCGCATTAGGTGCAATTGTTCAAAGGA